AAATAGTCTACCATGATTTATATTAGTGTCTCAAGGAGCTGGACGCTCAAGTGGTGTTGCAAAAGACTATTAGAGCAATGGACAAAGAACAAGATGAAAAATATGCTAATTCCATTAAAACAGACGTCGCAAAATACGAGGAGGAGAAGAAACAAGAGGTGGAGGAACAAACGAAAAAAACGAAGGATTACAGGATTGCTTTGAAAAAACAGTAAACATTAATTTTAATAGAAATTTAATTTTTTAAAACGTATAGTTTTTTAAGCGTATAATTCTAAATCTTTGTAAGAATATTAATATTTTAGTACAAATTCGACAGATATTAATATTAGATAATACAAATTGAATAAATGTATTTTTAGTATCAAAGCTAAAGAAATTATATATATATATATTTATATTTATATTTTTTTTTCATTATACTGCAACATGTATTATCAGATTAATTATGTATCAGGATCGAAAAGAACGAAAGAGACAATAAATTGAAAGCAACGGAAGAATTAGAAGCTGAAAAACAGGATCAAATAAACATGACTCAAGATATGCAACTCATGAAAAAGAAAGAGATGCAAGATGTAAACACCCGAATTTAATTGCTAAATAATATTTTTTACTCCAAAAGTATATTTAACGTGTATTCTCTCCATTTATATAGATATTGAACAAAAAGAAAAGACTACAGAAATTTTTCAAGAAAACGATAGAGGAAAAAAAACGAATTGAACTGGAATTACAACACAATGAAGAATTAGAGGATCGAGCGTTAGAAGTTTATAGGGAAGCTAAAGATCGAATACAAAAAATTCAAAAATCATTAGCATTAAAGAAGAAGGAAGAAAAAGCGCGTCAGAAGCAGATTGTAGGTACGATGCTTTCGGAAACATAAATCATATATGCAGAATTCAAATAACCAAAAAAAATGGATCCATCTATTAACAAATCTTGTTTTAGAGAAGCAATATGTTTTAATCAAGCAAGATCGCGAAATGAAGCTTGCTAAAGAGCAAGAAATCTTTGAAAAAGCTGTTGAAGAGAAAAACGCAATCGAGGTAGAAAAGCGAAAAGCACAAAAGGAACGAGAAGAGAAAATGCGCGCTCTCATGGAAGAATATAGGCTTCATGATGCGGCAATAAAGAGCAAGCAAAGAGGAGAGGAGAAGGAGTTGAGAACTTGGGAGATGATGCAGAGATTTAAGAGAGACGAGTATAATAAACAGACCGACTTGGAAGAACGCAAACGACAATGGCAACAAAAACTGGACTATGCCAATGAATTACAAAAGGATATCGTAAGAATATATTTTTTTAATATAAATTTTATAATAATCAGGTGTAAAAACATTTATCGAGAATAATTATTTTTTTTATTAATTATTTCTTTTTACGTTTCTAGATTCTATTTTACAACGGGCACTTTTACATGTAAATGCATGTTACATTTGAAATAATTTTTACACAAAGTACATTATTTATTTAAAATATGAACTTTTCATATTTTTCTTTTCCTTATATTATATAAGTATCGCAATATAAAATACATTGATAAAAATAGGTAATTTGATATTAATCATCAGGAAGAGAAACAAATGGACAAAGAACGCGAAAAAGAAGTTCTCAAAGATGAAGTGACAAAAGCCGCGATTGATAAAGCTAATCAAAGGATTCTATTTTATAGCGATGAAGTTTTAGAAGAATCGAAGGGCGTGAGGCCACTTTATCCAATCATCAAAGTCATAGAGGTACATTTTAAACATTTGTAGTATGAAATTTTGAGATTAATAAAATTGCAAATAATTTTAAAAACTCGTGTCTCTGTTTGTAGAATATTAAAAAAGAAATGGGATTAGCGCCAAAGGGCCGAAGAGAAAATACAGAGCTCGGCGCCACTGCAATTGCCCGAAACCTGTTGCGGCAGATCAAATATATTATATACAGTAATAGTTACTATTTGCAATAAACAGAGTTAATTTGTAAATCGCCCGACCGCAATTACCACACATCCGTCCAATAATTCAAGATGTCACCCAAGTCATTTTCGCATCACACCGTCAAGTCTCACACTTTTCGACTCACGCAAAAATCGGTAGAAACAAAGTTGTCCACGTCAAGACGACATTTACCAGCAATTTGTGAACAAAGAATTCACTAAGTTGTGAAAGTTGGAGCATTCTCACGGTTGCTTACTGTAGCGAGCACTCATACATCAAAATATTATATTACTTTCAATCCTTTCTCGAAGCAATTAAATAAGTTGTCTAAAGCAAGTTTCTCAGAAACATGTTTCACGTGTATGTTCAATTAACAGAATACATAAATTAATATGGATATCACCATATAACATTATTTCAGTAAATATAACATGCATTTAATACGAATTAATGTCTCATGCAAATAATTATAATTATAAAATATGATTTCTCTCGTAAGCAAAATACACAATGTATCAAATTCTTATACCAGAATAAATCGATCTTAAAATGACAAGCAATTTATTATCATAGATCTGTTTTCTTTGGCTGAAATAGTGTATAATATACTTTTGAAACTTAAAGTAAGATAGATATGTTTGATATTTATTGAAAGCAAGAAAGGGCATGTTCGGATTCCCATCTAGGTGCTCCCCGGATGTCATGTCATCCTTGTTGTTTACTGAACGTTAAATAAAGATGACGTGACATCCGAGGAGCCATTCAGGTGAGAATCAGATCATACCTAAAGAGAATGCAAGGACTAGTACAGGAACAGAAAACAGAGCCCAGTTCCACAACTCACGATTAATTCTTAACCGAGGTTCAACTTGTTTCTCATCCCTTTCCAATTCTAAAATTGGAAAGAGATAATGAATAAGTTGAACCTCGATTAAAAATTAACCATGAATTATAGAACTGGGTCAGATCAAATATCTTTTTATTTCCTTCATGTATTCACTTAAAACCTATAAATAAATTAATAAATGCAAATAATATATATAATTAACAAGTAGCAAAGGAAAGTTGGCATTTCATTTCCCATCACTTTTTATAAATCATTTATAAAAATCGATATTTTACTGTCATGCTGTGAAGCGTTGCCGTTTTATTTTAACGTACAATAGGTTAATAATGACAAAAATTTGACGACAATGACATGGCACATATATTTCGACTTAAAAGACTTTAAAAATATTTTGTACCATTGTGAGAAATAGAAACTATTTATTTATTTAACTTGTTTGTAAAAATTTATTCAACTTAAAATATTAAAAATGTCGAAAAAAGAAGAACCGAAAGAAAAGAAGAAGCAACCTATACCGCCAATGATCAATTTTGTGTTGGGTGGTCTTTCCGGGTAATTTGTTTCAAGCGTTGAATTAAAATAGAGTATTTCAAATATTCGTTTGTATCTTAGAATGGCAGCTACTTGCGTGGTTCACCCGATGGACGTGATCAAAAATAGGATGCAAGTGCTCAAAGGGAAAGCATCGATCTTAAATATAATTGGCACCACATACAGCAAAGAGGGTTTTCTTTCATTTTACAGCGGTTTATCAGCTGGTCTTGTCAGACAAGCATCTTACACGACCGTGCGACTCGGGATTTATAATCAGATGCAAGAATTTTGGAGGTAATTTGATAGCAGTAGCTACAATAAATTTAAAAAATTTCAAAAGATGTCAAGAATTTCTAGACAATATAAATCTTAGAAGAAAGTTTATAGAATAAAATCGGAATGAAATCAGGATGTCTCTTTTCATAACGACTTGGTTTCATCCCTTAAATAATCAAATAATTGAAGTAATTAAAATCGTCAGAGTTAAAAAAAAAACTGACTGCACTTTAGACAAAGATACGTCGGTCGTCCCAATTTCACGATTCTGGCATTAATGGCTGGGAGCGCTGGTGCCACGGGGGCTTTCTGTGGAACACCAGCCGATGTAGCTCTCGTGAGAATGACAATAGATGGCAGATTACCAGTGGGTAATGAAAAATTTTCGTACAAGCTAATTAGTGTATTGACTTTCATCAGTGTCAAAAGAAACATTTGTGGAAATAAATGTAGCTAATTTAGCTGATGTTCTCTGCTTAGAGCAACGAAGAAATTACAAGAACGTGATTGACGCTTTTATCAGAATTGCTAGAGAAGAAGGAATGTTCGCTCTTTGGAGAGGAGCTGTGGCCACGATGGGAAGGGCTGTTATCGTTAACATATCGCAATTGGCTACTTACAGCCAAGTGAAGCATATGATTGCGACACGAAGTATAACTAAACAACAGTTTTCTATATTATTTTTTAAAAATTATTTCGATAATTCGCGATTTCTTAAATATAAATCAAGTACATTCGTTAACTTTCGAAAATATAAAAATATAATTAAAATCTATAATACTTCGTTATTAAATTCAGTAATATTTTTCTATGTACATCTTTTGAATGTTTTTACAGTGAACGTTAAAGAAGGCTTAGGCTTGCACTTTGGTGCGTCAATGATATCGGGATTTGTCACTGCTTTTAACTCCATGCCTTTTGACATTGCCAAGACCAGGTTATTAACAATTTTAATACTTAAAACTTCTTGAAAAAAACTAATCCTTGAACAAATTCAATAAAATTTTCACTATTCCATAGAATACAAAACTTAAAAACCACTGGGAAATCTCCAGGTATGGTCTCAATTATAATATCGATAGTGAAAAATGAAGGAGTAATGAATCTTTGGAAAGGTTTTTGGCCAACTTACTGCAGGATCGGTCCGCACACGGTAATAACTCTCGTTATCAACGAGCAGCTGATGGGTTTATATAGAATGTATACTAGTAAATAATAAAAAAATTATCTGAATAAAAAATTGCGTATTTTAATATCACACATAATAAAAATTTCAGAAAAAACTTCTATACTTTTTTAAATAACATTCTCACAGATTTAATTATGTTTGCAACACCTTAATCTTTATTTTATTCCAATTGTATCATAGTGTGCAATTAAAGGAAACCAATTAACACTGATCTAGATAAATTTTATTGGCAAAATTTCAAGTACATGTCATGAAGTTGATCAACGCATACCATGGTAATTATTGTATTGGGTGCTGATTTGGAATAATACGGAAGAAGACCGCGCCATAACAACATTACACCTTCCTTTTTAGCAATATTAATGATCATAGCTAGAAGATTAGGTGGTTTCGTAGGTTGCCTCCAGTTTTGAATCCTATAAGGATATGTATCTTAAGACCTCAACTTTGCTTTTGATATCTTGCTGCTTTACCTAGTTTTAGCTGTGTCGATCGGAATCGAAGCGAAACACGTAACTGCACTAGACATCATGGCAGCGGTAATTTGTAATAGTACATCATGTTGAATATATTCTAACACGTTTCAAAAATCCATTAAAATTATGGATTAAATAAAATCATTTAAAATCGATCATTGATTACAATTTTTTTGTTATACCCTTATTAACTATCATATTTATATTGTTATATATTTCCTCTTATATCAAGTACAATTATCTTTATGTAAAGTGAAACTTCTTGTGAAACAGACATGATTAGTGTTGCAAATTTAATCACCTCTGTCTTGCAATAATTTCTTCACTCTTGTGTATGTACCTAATTGTGCTCCATTTACAATCGCTGCTCTACCCATCGTAGGTATCGCTCCTCTCCATAATCCGAAAAATCCTTCAGTTTTCCATATATTAAAGATACCACTAACGGCGTTCCTATATTTTCTTTGCTTTTCTGATATAAATATATTAAAAATGATAAATATATTAATTCCCGTGTACACAATACATTTACAAAGAGTACATCTTCCTTTTTACATTTTAAATCATTCTGGCAAATAAATTTAGGTCGAAATTTCAAAATGTTTAATAGAAATAATTACCTGGTGGCAAATTCATGTCTGCCACCATGCGAATTAATATCAGATCCGTGGGAGTGCCGATGAAAGAACCTATCACACCAGCTATCATCCCAAAACTTATCATCGTAACATAATTTAAATAACCAAAATGTTGTCTGAAGAGAAAGAATTTGTAATGAAACATTTTTATAACATAGATTTGTCTAATGTCTAATTTAATACTCAATGCCAAATATGCATAATATGTAACTCCACGGATTAGAATCAATTTTTAAATGCAATGATTGAAAGCAATAACTGACATTACTCCCCAATATCTAGCAAAGTGATATAAATTCCAAGTCTGCTGGTGGTATAGGTTAATTGACGAAGAAGAGCCGCGCTCAGTCCCGCATAAAAACCGCAAACTCCGTTCGTGCAAAACATACGGAGTGCTGCGACACGTAAAGTATCCTGCGACACTTGCATACGTATCTTAATAACATCCATAGGATGTGTCACGATTTGAGCTATTACTCTGTCGAATAAAATAAAATTATCATGGACTTTATGCTAAAATATTTTTTAGATATTTGCCTGTCGAGTAAAGAAGTAACAATTTTATTGCAATTATATAATATAAATCTTTTTACCCCGACATGCCACCTATTACAAAGTTGACGAATTTCGGCACCTTGGCATCTTGAACCGACGTCGACATTTATGTATTCTCTTTTTTTCATGCTAATCTCTCAATTTCTTATAATTAAGTTAATAACTTGTTACTTTTATCAATTTTTGTTTAATTTTGATAAGAATTATTTTTAACCTTTATTTCATTTCTTATTTCCATTTCTCCTGAATGTAGTAGCATTATATCGTGTTTACGTTAATGTCAGAGCACAGATTCTTGACTAATTACTTTGTCTAACTGTCATTATTGCGATAAAATATTTTACTTCAATAAATATTCTTATATTTTTGTACATAAAAAAACATGAAAAAACATTTTATTATACATATATATATGTATATGTGTATATACACACACACACACACACACACACACACACACACACACACACACACACACACACACACACACACAATTGTATATACTATTGTATATTGTATATACTATTGTATATAGCATATAAAAAAATTAGATTATATTACGATAGTATATAATATATTACACTATTGTATATGCTATATAATATAATTTATACAATTTATAATTTATTCATGCATAAAATTTTGTAAAGTAGTCACAACATGAATTATAATATTAAATATTAATACAATAATATAATTATATAAAATAATATAATATAAATAATATAATATAATATAAGGAGAAAAGAGAAAAGAAGGAACTGTGATCATCAAAGAAAAAAGTAATCATGACTAGGCTAATTCTACAATGTGCTCTTTGTTTCCTGTTTCTTGCTGTTTGTCTCTTGCCTTTTTGGTTAATAAGACAAGAGACAAACAGCAAGAAACAGAAAAAGCATTGTAAAATTAATCTTAAGGGCTTCGCACAATAAAAGAAACAGAGAATAAGAATAGAACCTATCAGAAATAATATATAGAATACATAATTTCTGAGGTTGAAATTCTGAGGTAGAATCACAATTTCATAGGTTGAAATTCTTATTCTCTGTTCCCTGTTCCTTTTATTGTGCGGAGCCCTTAAGATTAATTTTCTCCTTACTACCAACTATCAGGGATTAATTCAATCAATTCATACACATTATTTTATAAATATCTTGACCATACAATTATTCTCTTTCTTTCTTTTTCTACTTTTATGCATGTAGTTTTCTTGCAGTATCAAAAGTATAAAATTGTAATGACTACATTTATAAAATACATTTATAAAATATCACAAGCTAAAAAAGAACGTAAACATTTCCGAGAAACGTCTCCTCGGAGAAGCCCATAGGACGTAACCATCTCTTGGAAAATTCCTTGATGAAAATAAAAATCAGAGCGTAAGTCGAATGTAATGGGAGAGTAATAGAAGCGTAAAAAACTTGTAGGAAACAAAAATTGAAACATCAAAATGTAAAAGAAATGTAATTGCTTCTTTTACGTTTCATTGTTTCAATTTTCACCTTTTAGAAGTTTCGTTCACGCTTCTGTTACTCTTCTATTACATCCGATTTATGTTCGGATTTTTATTTTCATCAGGATTGAATTGTGTGATATTTTCGTACGCGAATTATGCTCCGATTTTTATTTTCGTCAGAGATCTGCGATATAATCATGATTCAAATACTCGATGTGCTCCTGAAGACGCAATTAACAAAAAAAGTATGTCAATCGCGTTTCGATTTCCTCAAAAAAGAAGAGAGAGAGAGAGAAAGAGACAACGTAAAAACTATTTTCGCATACTCACGGTATCGAAATTTGTACATGCATACTCACCGAACTACAAGACAGAATCACGTTCGGAACAGAGTTCCACTTACAATCGACGAAACAGCGTCTACTGCGAATATTCGCGATAACCAACATATTCTGGTGATCGAACATCACACTGGTCAACATTCCCGATAAAAATTCGCGATCATCGTACACTTTTAACGAGTAAAATCCACGATCGATCGCGGAGCGAACGCACTCACTACATTTCCGAAGCGCCAACGAAACTGTCATGGCGGCCGAACCGCCGAACCGTCGAACGGCCGCACTACGCATTACGCATTTGACAAAACTCTCCGCCAGATACATCTAGAATCGCGGTCTTTTAAAAATCTCTCTGAATCGAGCGTTTGAAAGCCTTGAAATACCAAACATTTGTCGCCGATTCACAGCACGAGTAGTCCATCGCGACCTTTGCAAGTCGAAAACAGTTGCGAATTTAAAATTGACCGAATAGTTGAACGAGACGTTCGCGCGTTTTTACTAGTCAATAAGGCAGGTTTAGAACGACGGTTGACCGACGGGTGACCGACTTTATCGATGGTTGATGTTTGACTCATCTGACTGACGTTGTTAGCGATATCTCTTTTTATCATACATATGCGTCGTGTCACATAAGTAACGTATGAAATCATCATAAAAGGGGTACTCTAAGCACCCTGTATCTTCTAAATTTGTTTGTATTATTCGAAATCTCCAAAAAGTTTGCTCTTAAAAGAAAATAAATTATATTCGGACGTTGAATAGAAAGAAAATAAAGATATTGAGTACAAAATATGTAAGCAATGTGCACAGATCTAAATATAAGAAATTCTACATATTTCTAAAAATTGTTTGAAAATTAAGAAAATATTCAAATATACATCTATATTGTCTATATATATATATATATTTTTTTTTTTTTAACACTCGTATCTTTCAATCTAATGTCTCTAATCTGGCACCCTTCAAAACTTCTCCATCGCTAGATTCACAGCTGAATTAATGAAATATCGCATGCGCTAGAAAAAGCGACACCGCTAGCAACACTCTGTCAGTGCGGATGTGGAACTTTTCTCTACCTTTTCATTATGTACGAGTCAACTGACCAGTAATTTTGTAAGTGCGTTTTGTTTTAACGCGTGGGACGTGTCGTTTACAGTGACAAGAAACTGCGGTTACGAAACACCGCTTATACTGCCGAAGTAACGAATTGACCGATCCGTTCTCGATACATTGAGCGACTTTGAGAGGTTATTAGCTCGCCTGATTCGCGACGTTCACACGCGAGACATTTCGTTGTTGTAATAAGCTACAATATAATCGAAGCATGATTGTGCACACGTCAATGAATATTAGAACATTCATGATTGATGTATTGATTTGTTCGTACTGAATCGTCGTCGACCTGAACTGTCAGTGTACCTACTTTCGGTTGTACTACTCTCACAAAAAAAAAAGCAATTTTCGTATTTACATCACCGCCGATGGTGTAAACAGTATTTTTAAGTCGGAAAATCAACTGATCGATGTTACTTAATACAGTGTTATCGTCAATTTATATATGAACATAAATAAGAAATGAATTTATATATATGTATATAATATGAATAAGTAGTAGATCTGTTTTTTTAGCTGATCTTGCACAATATTCATTCTTCATCTTTTTCTTTTTGTATCGGAGAACAAAATAGAAGAGATAAACTGTGCAAAATTTCAGCTAAAAAGAATAGATCTAGATTTTCTTATTGGATTCTAAAAGCTTAGCATTTTTAGAAGATCTCATTTTTTTCATTTTTAGAAGATTAGAGGCAATGGGTGCAACACCGAGTCGCTATGAAGATCTCTCCAAGAATGTGCACCTGGGAAGATTCTGTGGGAGACAAAGCATACCAACGAATGATCCATTTTGGAGTACATTTCTATCTTATAATATACGACCACCTATTACAAGGAATGATCAGATAGAATTGGATTCTCGTTTGGATTCATCGTGTCAACAATTACTTGTTAATAATTTGATTACTGGCAATTTTGGTACTCTGATACAAATAACTTTGATACGCATCAATGAGTTATTAGCACCTGTACAGAATCAAAAGTAAGCATACATCGGCTTTATTGATACAGCATAATAAATTGCGATGTTAAACATTGCGAATTTAAAACATTTTTGTTTTATGTCTAAAACTGTGCATGGTTTATTTACAGTATAATATCGGCATGGCAAACATACAATGCATTGTTTGCTGTACGATGTATTTTAAAGTATTTCATTGAGATTGTTGGTGAAGAACAAATGCTAAATCATATTGAAGCACCACAAACAACAAATGATGCACTTCCTTCTTATAGATTAGCGTATTTTATTGAAGCATTGATTGAACTTATTACAGATGTACCTTTATGGTAAGTGAAGATAATATACTATAAAATTACAAGCATAAACGAAGCAAATTTTCTGCTTTCAACAACTGGCTCCGACAAGTAGATATGTGTTAAAGCAGAAAACTTGATCAGAATCGATTCTGGTTGTCAGAAAGCAAGAAATCTGCTTTGTACTCGTACCCAAACAGCATTTATCTCTAAAAATAGCAGGTACTGTGTGTGTGTTATAAATGTGTCTATATTTTTTATAGTGAATTTACATATGTTGTTCACTTGGAGGCGATTAATTGTTTACTTGTGTTGCTCTCGGTGCAATTATTTTCTCAAACTGCAGCCGAATACAGCACAGTATATAGGATAGCGATGCACGCGCATCTGAATCAACATGCACCTACTATGGTGTGTACACTGTTGCACAATTTTATTCAACAGGAACACGCTCCTCCAGGATTACTAACGCAACAGTCGGGGGGTAGTATTGTATTCAGTATTGCTGGTAAATATGACAATATCACAAAACGCAATCGATCCATTTTACAAAGCATTAATGTAAAGCATCGTTTCAGCTGGGTTGTGGAATGTAATAAGAATGGGCATAGGCAGTAGTTCGAAAAATATACAGGTTACACATAATGGCACTGCTGAAGATGAAGAGAAAAAACGCGATACGGAAACTCCGCTCGCTAGTCAATCCCTATTACTTTTACTGGTTCTGACGAATCACTGTACCGCTACACAAAATCCATATAGAAATGCGCTTTTCTCTTTTATAGATATGCAAGGTAAACATTGGACTGATCTATAATTTAATCATAAGTATCCTAATATAGAATGTTAATATTGCATGTCGCGAATAAAAATATATTTTTTATTATAGAAGATCATACTATATCGCAAGGGAAAGCAGTTGATACCTTTAAATTTAAT